CCCCCCACGCTGGCCCACATTAGGACCGGCGTCAGGAAAGCGTGCCCGGAAACCACCGGCGTCCGCGCACACGAGCTCGAACATCCCGCCCAGCCCGAGCGGGAGCGCCCGCCCAAGGGGCCGTCCCAGAGCGACCGCCTCTGCGTTGGCACTTGACAGGGGGCCAAGCTGGCGCATGCCACACCGGCCCCGATGAATGTGTGCCGCGCCATTTTCCCCGCCGGGCAGGTCGCCGGACGGAAGCGGCCCACCAGCTGACCGGCCCCCCCCCCCCCCCCCCCCCCCCCCCCAGCCCCCCCCCCCCCCCCCCCGCGCCCCAGGCATGGCGCCCTGCAATATTCCCAGACAGCTGGGCCCCCCCTTCGATCGGACGAGCGCCAAGGAAGCGCGCGCCCCCTGTGTCCAGCCCGCGGGAAACGGCCGCCCTTTCTCGGCGCCCCAGAAGGGACCCCGGCCGAGGCGGGAGCGCGGTGGATTGTCGCCGCCGGCCTCCACCCGGGCCGCCTCACGCCGCCGTGCCCCAGCGCCCGGCCCGGGGCGTGGGGGTGACGCGCCCTTCTTCCTTGCAAACGCGCCACTCCCCTTCCGGCCGCTGCACCTGCCCCGGTCGCCGCCTGGCCCGTCGGCGCCTCCTCGCGCCCTGCTCCATGGGCTCTGCCAGTCTCGCCCGGCGCGCGGGCTCCTTGGCCGGGCGGCCGCCGTGCCTGCTGCCGAAAAGGACGCCGCATGTGCCGATCCCGGCCCCGGGCGAATTCCCCGCGGATATTGAGACGCCCCAAGGCCCGGAGGCGCGCCCTGCGCTGACGAGCACCACGCCACCCGCACCGGCTCTCCGTTCGCCCGGCGGGACCGTCAGCTGGGGCCTTGCCACAGGCCGAGCCCCGGGGCGCCTGCCTACGCCCCGTCCCCCTGCTGGGCTGCCTGCTGCAGGGTCCCCCTCGTCGGGTCTGTCACTCGCGCGCCGCCACCTGGCCGCCGCCAACCGTGCTGCATGCCGGGCACGGCTGCCTCTCGACCGCAGCGACCCCCGCGACGCCGGCCCTGGGTCCTGGCGCCGGGCCGAGATGCCCCCTTTTGCCGACGGGCATTGCCACCGCGATTGCTGCCGGTCTCCATCGCCGTCGCCGGCCCCGGCCGTGGTAAGGCCACGACCGGCCGGTGCCCTGCCTCGGAGGTCTGCCATGTGCCCTGGGAGATGCTCACCCCGCCGGGCCTCTTCCTGCTGCCCGAAGACCTCCCTCCCCGACCGGCCGAGTGCGCGGCATGCACGCGGACCCGGTGGCCTGGCGACAAGGCCGCCCACTCTGTCTAGATCACCGGTCGCACGCCCCGCGCCGATCCCTCCCGCCGCCCGGGGGGGGGGGGCTCTGGCATGCCTTCGCCCTCATGAGCCCCCGGCCATGGGAGGCGTCCTCGGCCGTGCCCATTTTGCGCCTTTCCATTGGGGGGACCCCCGGTGGTGGGCTCCAGCCAGGTGGCGCACCTACCGGCGGCCTGGGTGCGCCTCTTCCGGCCCGTACTGTTGTGCCGCCCTCCCGCCGGCGATTTCCATGCTCTCACAAGTGCCGCATGCATGCCTGCCCTCCCCGGGGCCCAGCCGGCCTTTTTCTTCTTTTTTTTTTTTTCCCGGCGCGCTGGCACGGGAGCTCGGCAGACGAGCCAGCCACTGCGCGGTGCCCGCGATTGGTCTGTGTGTGGTCGACCGGCATGCAGCCCTGTCTTTCGTCTTCCCTGTGGTTGGAAGCCGCCGCAAAAGGCGCCTGAGGCCCATGTGGGAGGATGGGCGATCGCCCGTGCGCGTGGTGCCCAGCCGCGGCGGGCAAGGACCAAAGAGGAGGACCCCCGCCAAGACCTCGGAGGGAGTCCCGGGCGTGGCAGGCGGCAGGCACACCGCACACCCGGCCAGCGGGCACGGGCCAATGCTTTGAGCCTTTCGCCCGCCGCACGGCACGTCCCGGCCGGGTCACCGGAGGCCGGTCAAAGCGTGGGCACAAAGCGCGTCGCCCCTGGCAGGCCCGCCAGGCCGGTTCTGGCATTGCAGCACGCGCCTCGAGCCACAAGGGCGTGGTCGATCGGTGGCGACTAAAAGCCGGCTTTTTTATTCGCTCCCTCCTGTCCGGCGTGGGTGTGTCCCCCCCCCCCCCCTCTCTCTTACAGCACGGGCGCCCGACACCCGGGCGCAATAGGCCCCCATGGGTCGGGCTCTTTTCCATGGCCATGGCACGGTGTTTCGGAGCTTGCCCACAGCCCCACGGCCATGGAGGGGACCGCAGCCGTCCTGCTTGGTGCTCGTGGCGGTGTTTTTTCTTTCTTTCGCACCTACACCAACAGGCACGCCCGAGTTGAGGTGGCCGCCCCGTGTGCCGGGCCTGGGCCTGCCTCGCGGCTGGCAACCGGCCACGAGGTTGCCTGCCGGGCGTGGCTCCTTGCGCTCTCCTCCCTCCCTGGAACCAGTAGGCAGCGCGACAGCCGCTCGCTCGAGCATGGCGGTCGGCACCGGCCAACCGGGTCCGTGCCACGGCTCTCTCCCCAGCACAGACGGCCCAGCCCCCTCACGGCGTGCGCATCACTCGGCGGCCGCACAGGCTTTCCCCTCTGGTCATCCCGATGCCGGGACACTCCCTGCCGCCGGGCCCCCGGTCGATGTTCATGCCGGCAGCCGATGCCCCAGGGCGAGGGGCTGCTTTTGTTGCCCGCCTACATGCACGCGCACGCCGGCCGGCCAGACCCCTGCCCAGGGCAGCCCGCCGCTTCGCCCATGGTTTCCTCTCGACCGGCTGCCCTCTGCCTCCGCGGGCACCTTTGCCCTGTCGCCCGGGTCTAGGCGTCGTCTGTGCGCAGCTTGCCTTCTCCCTACCCCACCCCCCGGTTGGGGCCGCGCTCCGGCCTCGGTCCCAGGCGCGCAGGCATGCCAGCCGGGCCGGCCACCAGGCTGCGCAATGCACAGGCGCCCCAGCTCCGCGGGCCGGCATCTCGCGCGGGCCGGCACCTCGCGCGGGCCCGCATCTCGGGTGCACGGCGCCCATCGGCCAAGCCGGCCCCGGCCCGGGCATATGCCCGACGGCACCTCGCCCGCCCTGCTCGCCAGCTCCCCCGCACGCGCTTCGGCCCCTTCCCCCCGGCCCTGCATAGATGCTCGCGGCCCGGCTCCACATCTGCCACCTCCCGGCCCCACTACTCCCCGCAACACCCGAAAGGCCACACCCTCTCGCTCCATCCGCTGGCTCCGGCCATCCCCTTGCCGCATGCGTGCCCCCGGGATGCATCCCCTTGGCCCGGCCCGGGGTCGGCCCGGGGGTCTTGGAGCGTCGCCACGCGACCCCTGGACGGGGCCTGGCAATGCGCAGGCAAGCGGCCGCATGAGTGTGTCGCACCCGCCACAGGGCGGCGGTGCCGCAGCGCTCGTCGGTGTCTCGGATCACATGCCCAGGCACGCGACCCGCCGCACCACAGTCACCAGGGGTCCGCATGAGCCGGCCAGACATCACGCCCGCCTCGGCCATGGCTCATGCCAACGGGCCGGGGGCATTCTCTCCAACCGGGCGGATGCCAACGGTGATGAACCCGGCCGATGGCCGCGCCCGAGGCCGCCGGCCCAAAGGTGATCCCGCCCCCCGCCGACGCACATGGACATGGCGAAGAGGGGGATCTCGCTCGCCAATGGCGTAGGGCGCCTGGAACTGGGCCAGGCTCCGGTCCCGGGGGCCCGGCCAGCGGCGCCATCCGGCTGACGCCCGCTGCCCCCGCCGACGCGGAACCACAAAGCAAGGTGCGGCAAGCGACCACCCCCCCCCGAGATGGGCCCGTTTCCGGCCCCCAGAGAAGGGACCCCCTCTTCCCTGACACCCTCGCTGGGTCTCTCCAGCTCCGCCCCGCCCCCCCCCCGTCCTCCCTCCCGCCTACGGCACCCGTCCCTGGCTTTCCCCTCCCCCCCCCCGCCCCCCTCTCCCTCGCGATGAGCCCGGCTGGTGACGCCCATCCAAAGCGGCTCCCGCGACCGACCGGCCCCCTGTTGCGGCTGGCCACGGCTGTACTGGCCGTGGGGGGCACGCTCCTAATGTGGGGCGTGGCAATGTCAGCCGGGGCCACTGGCCCAGCGCTGTATATGCATATAGTCCCCCAGACCTTGGGGACCCAGAACAACATGGTCGGCTTCTTCACCCCGGCCTCCGATGTGTCCATGACCACGCTGATATATCCGCCTCAGTGGATGGAAGTCCGCCGGCAGTGGCACCCTTCGGCCGAGCTGACCGAGCATCGGTGGGGCCCGTACTTCGACCGCCACCTGAAGTTGTCGATTTCGCGCCCGCGTCCGCCGCTGGTCGGCGAGCCGAAAATCCTGGCGCTCCCGCTGGCCGGGTCGGAGAATCCGGTCCTGGTGGAGTACACCCCCGAGGAGGTGGCCTTCTTTGACCAGCCCGACGCCTGGGCCCTGTTCCGCGCGCCGGTTGTGGTGCTTTCCGCGCTGGCAAGCTCCCCCTCGGCGGTGGATCTGCTGGCGCTGGCCGGGCCGGCCACCGGGCCCCGGCAGCCGATCATCATCCAGTTGTCCATCAACGTCATGCTGGAGACGGAGCTGGATGTGCCGGCCATCGTGGGGCCCAGCCTGGCCGCCCCGGCCGGCCAGCCGCGCAGCTTCTACCTCTATGGCGATGGCATTCTGCACGAAGTGGCCGCCGATCCGTCGGGGGTCCGGGAAGTTGGCGTGCTCCCCCTGCCGGATGTGACTGCCCTGCGGTCGACACGCCTGCTCCCGGCCCCGGGCGGGGCCGCCTGCGACACGGACCTGCTTCTGGCCTTCTCGGATGGCCGGGTCCAGGCACGTCTGTGCCACTCGCTCTCGGCCCAGCCCGGTGAGTCTGCCCTCCTGGAGGCCCTCCTGCCTGCCGGGGCCGGGCCCGATGGGCACTTCCTCAACCCCTCGGTCGAGAGCATGGCCGAGCCGATGGGCTTCGTCTACTTCTTGTCCAGCAGCCCACCCAGGCCGGTCCTCTGGCGGGCGGTCATTTCGCCGGCCGGCTTCGGGCCCTGGCGCGATGTGCGCATCTCAAGCTACTTCGAAATGCACTCCTTGCAGATGTTGCGCATGCGCCTGGCCGCCGGCCGACAGGAGTGGGTCGTAGCCAGCAAGGATGGGGCCATCTTCCTGGACTCCGACGACTTCGGGTGTACCACCGACGACACGATCCGCTGTACCGAGCCGCCCGCCAGCTCGGCCGTGTGGAGCTGCAACCTCGGCCGCACTCAGTCCCCCTTCCTGGACTTCGGGCGCATGTGCTCGGGCTGCCCGGATGGGTCGTACCTCGACCGGGACTCCGGTGCGTGTGTCCTCGCGAGGGCGGGCGTGGCGGCGGATGTGCCGGTGGGCCCGGGGCGGGGGGGGAGGAGGGGGGGGGGGGCGATCAAACGCCGAGGCAGGCCCAGGCGAGGGGACGGCCAAACGCGCCTGCGCGCACGCACACGCCCCTCCACCCCGACCCGGGCCGGCCCCCCATGGCCATGCTCGCGGGCCATGCCACGGCGCCCCTGCGCACAGGCGCGGGCTCTCTTTGCTGCCAACTTCTGACCCGCCTGGCAACACGATGGCCGCTGTCCGCCGCCCTCTGCCCTCCCCGCGGACAAAGATACCTGCAAGTTCTGCCCGCAGGCCAACTGCCTGACATGCTCGGCTGCCCAGTGCCATGTGTGTGCCTCGGGGTTCTTCCCGCAAGCCAGCGGCCCGAACGGGCGCATCGTGTGCGTGGACACATGCGCGGCCGGGTTCACCCTGCTGGCTGGCGTGTGCCAGCCGTCTGCCCGAGCGGTGGCCAGCTCGGAGCTGGCGTCCATGGGCGTGGCCAGCTTCGCCGAGCCGATCTCGGGGATGGTGAGCGCCGCCACGGCCAGCCACCTTCTGCCGGATGCCCAGGGGAACCCGTACATCCCGGCCGGGTCGATGGCCAACCCGGACGGCCCGGCCCCCGGGGTCATCCTCTTCGACACGGACGGCCAGGCTTGGCTCATGCCGCGGGGGGATGTCGCCCAGCCGGGCGCCGCGCCGGTGGTCCTCAGCAGGCTGAGCGACCTGTCCGGCGGGCCGCTGCTCGCGAGCGTGGTCGAAGTTGGCCCCATCCTGCTGGAAGACTCCATCCTGCTGGGCTATGTCTTCTGCACCAAGCCCGCTGGGCTCCTCTTCGGGTACATGAAGTGCCCGAGGCCGGTGGCCCCGATGCCGGGGGATGTGCCCTGCTCGGTGGCCACGCTGGAGTTGCACCCGCAGCCGGGGACCGCCTTCACGCATGCCCGGTCCGTGGGCCGGGAGCATGTGCTGGCCACGCAGGCGGACGCATACAACCTGCTGCTGGTCCTGGCCGGGGGCACATTCAGGCCCGTCGGCCCCAGCTACCTGGGGCACTTGGTGCCGCTGCTGACCATCCCCCGGCCGGCCGGGGCCGGGTCCGGCAACTTGGCCGAGTGGTTCATCCGGTCGGAATTCACCATGGGCGTGGTGGCGGCCCCGCTGGCCGCCGTCATGGCCAACCACCACTATGTGGCCATGGGCGGCGGGGTGCACATTGCCGGGGCCACCGGCATCAAGTGGATGCCGATGTTCCTGCCGGTGCGCGACCGGTCGCCCGGGCACCAGCTCGTCCTGACCACCATCGAAAGTGGCACCTGGCGGGCCATCTACGCACCTGGGGACATCGGTCCGGCCGGCCGGCCGACCAATCTTTCCTCGCTGTCGGCCACCCTGGGCACCGTGGGCGACCTGAATCAGGAGGCATGCCGCTTCGAGGCGGTGCCCATGCCGGCCGGCCGGGCCGACACCCCGGCCGGGCTGCTCCTCCTGTGCGACGGCCTGCTTGGGCTGTCGCTGCTTCGGTGCCCGGCCTCCGGCCCGGGGGCCGGCGGCGCGTGTGCCCTTCTCCCGGCCTCGGTGATCGCCCTCCCCCTGCATGGGGGCGATGTGCTGAAGGGGCTGGCCCGGGCCACGGTCATTCCGCGGCCCGGGGCCGCCCCTGTGGCCGACCGGCACATCCTGCTGGAGGCCCTGCTGTATTTGCCGACGGTCGGGACGCTGGACCTGGTCCTGACGGGCCCGTGTGCGTGGGGCACCTTCGAGCCGGAGTGCCAGCCCTGCGACTCGCTGTGCGACGGATGCACCGGCCCCGGGCCGCAGGACTGCGTGGCCTGCCTCTTTTGGCTGCCCGGCCACCCGGGCACCTGCCTGCCATCCTGCCCGCCGAAGCTGCACCGGGCCCCGGATGGCGAGTGCATGTGCCACTCGACCTGCGTGGATTGCGGCCCGGCGGCCGGCGGGGATTACGTCTGCCTCGAATGCCTCCCCGGGCTCGGGCCCGATGCCCACGGCGCCGACCCGGACCAGTGCTTCCCCTGTGATGGCTCCTGCGCCGAGTGCTTCCTGTCCGCCAACCCGGGCGCTTGCACCAAGTGCCATCCATCGGCGTGGCTCTTTGGGGGGGCTTGCGTGGGGGCCTGCCCGTCGGGCTTCTGGCCGGACAGCGCCTCCGGCAGCTGTCTCCCCTGTGCGGCCGGCTGCGCCGCGTGCACCGGCGCATCCGCCTGCACGCGGTGCGCCGACCGGCACTTCCTCGCTGCCGGGGTCTGCCATGTGTGCGACGGGTCGTGCGCTTCGTGCGACAATGCCACCAGCTGCGCCGCCTGCCGGCCGGGGCTGGTCTTCCTGGCGACCGATGCCGGGCAGGCCTCTCTGTGCGGGAGCACCTGTGCGGCGGGCGAGTTCGCCGGGCCCGGCCGGTGTGCCGTGTGCGACGCCTCCTGCGCCCTGTGTGCCGGCAGCGCCACCGGCTGCCAGGTGTGCGCGGCTGGGCACCGCTGGGTCTCGGGTCCGCCGGCGGCCGGGGGCACCGGGTCCTGCACGGCCTGCCCGCCGGGCTGCGCCTCGTGCACGGCCGACCGGTGCCTGGCCTGCGAGTCGGGGCTCTTCCTCGACTCACGCGGCGCCTGTGTGAGCGCCTGCCCGGCCGGCACCTACCCCACCGATGAGTCGTGCCAGCCGTGCGACCTGAGCTGCGCCACCTGCCTCGGGGGCGGCGCCGACCAGTGCGCCAGCTGCGCCGACGGTCTGGACTTTGTGCCGGCCGGCGGGTCGGCCGGCGCATGCGTGTCGGGCTGCCCGGAGGGCCAGTACCGGGACCGTGTCTCCGGTGCCTGCCTGCCGTGCGACGCGGCGTGCGCCACGTGCAACGGCCCGTCGGACAAGGACTGCTGGCGGTGCCGGGACGCCGTGCTGCAGGACGGCGACTGCGTGCAGCACTGCGCCGCGAAGCACATCGCCCTGGCCGGGCGGTGCCTGCCCTGCCATGCGTCGTGCGACCAGTGCGCCGGGACCCGGAGCACCGAGTGCCTGCCGGCCTGCCCGGGTGATCTGCTGGCCCTGCCGGCCGGGGCGTCGCCCATGCGCTGCGTGCCGGC